CCTTTTGATAGAACATGTGCAGTAGAACCATGTGGATAAAAGAGGTCCAAACAGGGGTTGAAGAGTTGGCTCAGCAGTTAGGAGCATTGGCTGCTCTTGCAGATGCCGAGTTTGATTCCCAGCACCCACATGGCAGCTAACAACCATTGTGACTCCAGTTCCAGGGGAATCCAACGCCCTCTTCTGACCTCCGCTGACATTGCGTGATATAGGTGCACTTATACACACGCAGGCAATATGCTCATACACATAAAATAAAAATAATATATTTTTTTTAAAAAGAGGTTCAAATAAACTGTGAATAAATGTATGCTTCTCTGTAATTATAAAAAGCAGACAAAAGATGGACTGGAAGATCAACATTGACTTTAATTACCAACATCAAGAATATAATCTGGATTTAAGAAAATCTTATAGTTAGGGGCTTAATATTTTTCTAATGCTGTATAGGTCAATGGACATTTTAATCAGAAATTGAAAGTTTTGAAGAGTATTTAGATAGAAAACACAGGGCTGAAAGTTTGTTCACAAGGCAGGGTTTTTGTAGTGTGGGTCCCTCAGACCACCTGTGTTGGAATCACTAAGAAGCTTTGTTAAATACTAAGGACTTGATCTCCACTCTTCACTCATCCTTGATTTAAATTCCCGAGGGTGGAATTCAGAATCTCCATTCTCAATACATTCCTGCAGTATTTCTGATGTCAAATAAAACCCCAGAACCACTGATTATTAGAATGTGTTCTAGGGTTAAGAGTAAAATAAAATATAAAACTAAGTTGAAAGCTTCATCAAGGAACAAATGTTGCCAGGATTTCATCCGTCAAAATATCAAAATATAATCAAGGACTATACCATCTAAAAGTTCAGTGGAAGATTCAGCTTTTGAAAATGACAAGGTAGATTTTCAGTCAATTATTGGTTGAAAATATTCTGCTCATAAAGGAGAAAGGTGTCTTGTGCAATCAGTTCTTTCTGAGATAATTGCTTTATGGACTATAAAATGTGAAAACAGCTTTTTATGAACTTCAGATCAAACGATATTTTTGCAGTTATATTTTCTAGGATTAAAGCACCTTCTTTTGAAATTAACCAATAGGAAATATGTTTTGAAAAAAACAATTAACTGGCATGAAATTTGTACTCTGTAATCATCTTTCTGTGGTAACCTGAGCATTAATTTTATACTATCTGTGAATAAAAAATTTCAACAGGATTATTTATATAAAGCAGACTAATTAATCATGTCATTCCTTTGCCTAAAACCATTTAATAACTCCCCATATCTGGAAGGACAAAGTTCAAACTCAATCTATGTGGCTCTCTGGCCGTCTATCTTTGCTTTTTTTGGCCAGATTTCCCTTTCAGTTTCTCAACACTCTGACCCCTCAGATTTCACCAGTATTCTTCTCACTTCTAGAAACCTTCCCCTGCACTGCCCTCTTTTACAGCTTATCCTAAGCTCTCAGCAAATACTATATCACTACTTGTATCATTACTGGCATTGGCGAAGGAGCACATGCAAGATATATTGCAGATTAGAAACCAAGAAGTTAAAGGAAAATTGCCCTAACTTTTACACATATATTAGTATATCAAAGAATGATTAGAGATATTTTAAGAAGATATTGAAACTTGAGTAAATTTAATGCTCAGTCAGGGACATGAGCCTTAGAAGTCTTTCCATCTTCATTGTTGGGGGACCCTGATGATGCCAAAGTCTCTTCCACTAGAAACTATTTGTTGTTGTGGTTGTTGTTGTTGTTGTTGTTTTTAAAGAAATAAGGATCAATGTTCCCTAGACAACTCTGAGATCTGTCAGACCCATCTGAGGGCAGAGAACACATCAGTCTTCTCAGCGTCTCTCCCATTGTTCAAATGCACCCAACACAGATGTTGTTTTACATACAGTAGCTTAGAGGGGAAATTTTCATTGCAGTAGTAAATATACCACTTCCGTGTATTTTGCTACCTGAATTTCTGCTGTAATGAGTTGAATCACTAAAACACAAATCAAAACAACAAAAACTAATTGGAACTGAGTGTAATGGCTCAGGGCAGCAAGTCCAACACTTGGGAGGCAGAGACAGGAGGATCAGGAATTCAAGGTTATCCTCAGCTACATAGCAAGTTCAAGGCCAGCCTGTGTTACATTATCCTGTCTCAAAGAAGCAAACCAACCAAACAACCAACTAACCAACCAGCCAACCACCCAACCAACAAAATTAATTGGGTGAAAACAGAAAATAGAGCAAACGATGCCATCTGTGAATCAGGAAGTGGGCCCCAGCCAGACACTACATTTACCAATACTTGATTCTGGACTCTCTGGCATTCAGAACTAAAAAACAAGATACTTTAAAGCAATGAATTAGAAACCTCTGACCATTGCCTTCCTGGAGTCACTAGAAAAATCCATGTAGGAGAACTATCTCTCATACCCACCTTTCAACTGTTTTGCACGTAGATTAGTGTTGGAGGCTCTTTTGTTTATTTTTTTTGTAAGGTGCTGAGGATCAAATCGAGGACCTCATACATGCTGATACTGAGCTACATGCCAGCCTCCTCATAGACGTAATCTATCATTTATTCCCACCCTCACCATCTCTAGAACTTCAACACATCAAGAAGGTCTAGAAGGAATGGGTCTCATTCTGTGACCTCAGCTGCTGGGGGCCTGATTAACATATTGGAAGCTAACTTCCCTGTGCTTGTTACAGTTAAAATTTGGCTTCATCCAACTTACCCATGCACTTTATTCCATTAATGTATTGTTCCTTATTCTAAAAACCTTTAGATTACTCAAAATTTATTCAACAGTTAGGTTATCCATAATCTCTTGAAAATTTTACATGTTTTTATAAACATAAAAATAAGCAAGACATGGGCCGGAGAGTTGGCACAGCAGTTAAGAACGCTGTCTACTCTTGGAGAGGACCCAGCTTCCATTCTAGCACCCACATAGTGGCTAACAGCTGTCTGTAACTCCAGCTCCAGGGGATCCGACCTCTTCTTCTGACCTCTGCATGCATTGCACACACATTGCACTGACAACATGCAGGCAAAGCACTCATACACATAAAAATAAATTTTAAAAATATCAAAAAATATGATCAAGTCATATAAATGTTTTAGAGATGCTCGTGAAATGATTGTGATGTGAGTATATTTGCATATGAAATCTAAATTTACATTTCTATTTACTAGCTTAGGTTTTCTGACTCCTTACTGGGATATATACTTGTTAGAAAAGTAAATATATATTTCAATTCAGTGTAAAACTCAGTTCATTCTTTTCATGAATATATTTTAATAAGTACAATGTAACCCTAAAGGTTAACTCTGTACTTGGCAAAGCACACGTGAACCAGATGAACTTGTTACAACATACATCACTTAATTCTGGAAAGGTGCATGGGTGATATGAAATTTGTATAGTGCTTTACTCCTAAGTTTCATAGTAGGAATAACCAACCTCATTTCCTACATAAAGAAAAGGGGCTCAGAGAGCTTGTTGATTTGTCCAGGTTTATACTGCGAGTAAATGGCACAGTCAGCAACGGGAAAAGTACCCTGAAAGGGCATGAATATGCAAAGCTTCCTAACACTCAAGACAATCAAAGAATGTAGAGCAGTTCTAAAGACAAGTCATTAGATCTAACAAATCCTTGGCTCTGTGAACACCTGCTGTGTCATTCATACAAAAACTCAAAGCTGGAGTTGGACCAGTGACATAGAAGAAAAATAGTATATGCTCATTCGTTATTATAGCACAGCAAAAGAATTCTGAACTGAGAGGTGGAGCCAGTGGGGATTCACCTATAAAATGGGGAGCTGGGCCACACAAACTATATTGGGATGCCTGTGATAACATGCCTCACAGAACAATGGAAGGGAAAAAGGTTTTATTTGGGTTCACCGTTTCAGAAACTTCATCATGGTGGGGGAACATGGAAGAGCAGAGCAACTTACATCATGGTGGCTATAAAGCAGGGAAAAGCATCTTGCCAGAGATGAGTGCATCTCTCAATGCCTCATAATCTCCATGACTCTCCCCCTTCACACAGCACCACCCTTCAGTATCTACACCCTGCCTATATCTAGAATAGCACCACTTAAAAAAAAAAATGTGTGTGTGTGTGTGCGTGTGTGTTCATGCATGCATATACGATGTGTGTGTTTTTGTGAATGTGGGCATGCACACACCATGGCATGTGTGTGGAGGTCAGAGGACAATCTCAGGTGTCGTTCCTTACCTTCCACCATCTCTTGAGACAGTGTCTTTCTGTTGTTTGCTGCTGCGTTTGCCAAGTTTGCTGACCAGCAAGCTTCCAGGGATTCCCCTGTCTCTGCCTCCCATTTTGCCATAGGATCAATGGGACTATAGACATGCACTGCCTTGTCTGCTTTATGTATGTTCTGGGGATTCGAACTCAGGTCCTTATGTGGTAAGCAGCACTTTACCCACTGAGCTATTTCCCCAGTCCAGGTATCTGTACTTTTTTTTTTTTTTAAGTTTTTAATTTTATGTGTATGCGTGTATTGCCTGCATATAGGTAAGTACACCTATGTCGGGTAATGCTAGTGGAGGACAGAAGAGGCTGTCGGATCCCCTGGAACTGGAGTTACAGACAGTTGTTAGCTGCCATGTGGATGCTGGGATTCGAACCCAGGTCTTCTGTTAAAACAGTCAGTGTTCTTAACTGCTGAGCCATCTCTCCAGCCCGTATCTGTACCTTTGTAAGTGAACTAATTCCACTTCAAAAGTTATTGAACCATGGTAGACACACTCTGGAAAAGTCTTCCTCCTCCCAACTGTCATTGTGATTATTTTGTGAACTATTTAACTTGGTTTGTCTCATCTTTCTCCATAGTGATAATTTCTGGCTTCTTCACATAAAGTTTGGATGTTCAGCAACTTTTTTAAAGAGCAGAGTGTTTTGAGTTTATTTTCTTGAATGTATATCATTACCCACAATGACAAATATGAGAGAAGTCAAAGTTATGTAAAATAAGGGCACAGCTTTATTTTGCTACAAGGCAGTAAGTACACTGTCATTTCGAAAGTTCAGTGCTGGCCATTTTTGCACCAAATGTTCTTAAGGCAGCAACTGGCTATTGACCTTCATCTTTGTCTCCCCTGCTGCAAACAGGATCAATAGGGCAGTTCTGGGACCATACACTTGGGAACTATGGCAAATGCAGATCAAACTCAGAACACCTGAATTAATGAGCAGTCAGGCTGAACTCAAAACAGAACACAAGACATCAACAACATAAATCTCCCAAAAAAAAAGAAGTGCAATGCATGCTTTTATAAACCAACAATAACAAAAAAAAATTCCTAAAAAACAAAAAACATACAACAAATCAAAAATCTCCCAAATAACTTTTCCAATGTATTACAAAAGGAAAAATGTATATATAATATAAAAATAAAAAAGTCTGAAATACTAGTGCATAGTCAATTACCTAACACCGAGTTTCTTTCCATCCAAGCTCTACTGCCCTGTCAACTAGCAGCATCTCTACAGGCTACCACCATAGCAGCAAAACACATTTTCCATTTGGCATTTACAAAATTTAAATTACTGAATAAAAATATATTTTTTATAAAACTATTTCATACAGTAATAATTTTTAAAGCAAGCTAACAAAAAAACTCATGAAATTGTTTAGTACAATAAATGTACCTCCAAGGTTATTAACCACAAACGAGCATTTACAGTCTCTATTAACTGTCTCATGGTATTTTGCCAGCATTTAGAGTAATGCTTTTACTGATTTTTTAAAAAAAATCTATGTGTATGTTCAATGATTGAGAAAAGTGAAATACTGGAGTATCTTTCTTCGTGAACAATTTCAAAAGAAAAAAACTCATCACAGTAAAAAATACTGATCTGTTGGATCCTCTAAAACACAAATAAATCATTTCTTAAAAATCTGCATTACGATATTAACAAATGGTTACAATTCATTACCTAATAATTTAGGTAAGACTGTTATTTATTTTTTAAAAATCCTTTTAGTTGGTTGAAATCCAGTAAGATTTCACTCAACTAAATGCACTTGGTGCTGTTCTCAACTGTTGTACCACAACAAAAATAGGCTCTTCTTTTAATCATGAAGAGTTCCATGCTGAGGAATGACATATCACAAGTCAACTTGAAGTGTTCTGAAAACCATAATGCTTTTCTGGAAATGTCTCACATGACCAGAGTCCGAGCTGAGAACGCGTTCACATATTTGCGAGCCTGACCTGAAGCTGTCATCTGATCCTCTGTCTTCCCACAGGATGCTGGCTCCCAGGTTCCACTGCAAGGCTAAGTGGGGATAAGAGGGTGACAGTAGGGTCAGACCAGGAAACTGAGATTGCAGTCCAGAGGTGCTTCCCCACCCCAGCATGACAACCTACAACACTGTCAGATGGCAAGTGGTCGATGCCAGGAAGACTCTGTCAGGTACTCTGCAGCAGGATCCTCAGAGCCCAGTGCTCTTGGGTCAGAAACTCCATGCCACATAGTTTCCTAAAATGCAACATCTTGCTACTGGAATGCCTTCTCTCTCTTAGGTGATTTTATCAAGTTGGAGCTAGGGGTGCACATAATTCTCCAGATACCTAAGGCAACTTATGGGTCTACTCACTCAGTAAACTGATGAGTGCTTGAGCCAAGAAGCTCATTTAAGTGATGGAACTTATCAATATCTGATAAGCCTACATATATATTTCTTAATTAACTGTGCATATCCACATAGACCTTTTTATTTTCCATGGGACAAATGGAGAGTAAAAAAGGCCATATCCATGCACAGTGATGAACCACTGTTATCCCAGCGTTTTGAAGGCAGAGGTAGGAAAATCAAGAGTTTGAGGTCAGCCTAGGCTACATAGTAGGCTAAAGGCCATCACAGGCTACATAGCTACACCCTGTCTCTAACAACAAGGTCTTTGCTCTCCAGTACCTAATGTTCTCTTTAAGAGACAGAATGTACCATGCTTTATAACAGGAGGTAAAATAACTGTGTATGGAGATTTGTGGTGCCACAAGCAATTGAATAGGGCACAAGACACTGAGGACACTGTAGCCAGGACATAGATGGAATGAAAGGACAGTAGGAGAGAGAGAGGGAAAGAATTAGGAAGTTTCAACTCGGGTAGTGTTGGTGGGAAAAGCTGAAGGAGGGAAAAGGAATACAGTCGTTAAACGACAACAGTGAACAGGCCCTTACTATGTGCTGCCCATACTCCTGAGATGTTCGCATGTCAGTCTTATTTAACTCTCACACAAATTACCTGAGGCACAGATACACCTGTGGCACCATACCAAGTTTACACACCAGGAAATTTACATGAAAGAAAGAATTTGGGCAACATGCTTGAGATTACAAAGTTAAGAAATGATGGAGCAAGAATCTGTACGGAGGTGGGGTACGAGAGGCCACGTCCCTAAGGTGTGTGAGCTACTGCTTGCAGTGGGCCTCTTGTCAACAACACCATAAACAACTTGATGGAACCTTCTAATCCATGCAGAAGCATAGAGAGGTGGTGTGAGAGGCAGAAGACTTTTAGCAAATAACTGTGATAATTCTGAATGGACATTGTGCTGGCATGGTGGTGGGTTTCCACGCTTAATGACTAAAATAAAGTTCTAGGGACATAAGGTTTGTGATGGTGTGTTCTGACTTTCCTAATCTCCAAGCTTCTCAGCGAGGCCATCTCCCTACTCTGCATCAAAGAAAGTGGCATAGTCAAGTGCACAAGTTTATTCTGAAAGTTCAGAGGTTCAGCATGCAACTTGGCATACTACCTAGCAAATGGATCATCCTACAGTTTCTCAAAGAATGGTCTATCACAGAAACCATAACAAAGATGGCAAGTATTCTAGCTTGACTTCTAACACAAAGTCACATTTAATATTTTCTTAAATAAGCTCACCAGTGTAATTACAACATTCTTTGGAATAGTTCTAAGTGAATGATATTTCTCTGGACTCAATCGTAGACTAAAAAATATATATATTTTT